GAATGCCCTTTGGATGGCACTCCACATTGGTGGAAACAATCTCAGGGAAATTAAAATGCAAGAGACATGCATATAAGAGAACATCACCTTACCCTAAAGAGTGTTCAAAGCGATTGTGAGAGGCTCCTGGAAAAACAAAGTAAGTGCCACCCAGCTGCTTAATGTATCGAAGGCGCTGAAACTGAGGAGTGTCAATGATGCGAACAAGAAGAGGATGTATTTCAATGTGCCCATGAATTGGATCATTAAAAACCTATGAGAGTCAAACAATAATGAAATCAACATTTAAAAATTGACTTTTAAAAGAAACAGGCACAAAGATAAAGGACGTGTATAAGGGTCAGCTATTTGGGGGAAGAGGGCTGTTGTTTTCTTTTCTCCTTTAAAATAGCCATATGCTGTCTATCCTAGATCATGCTTCATCTTGGAGAACTACTTATGTGTGACATCCAAAAAGATAAAGCTATGCATTTCAGAGGGCAAAGGAATCCAAGTCAAAAAATCTCTAAAAACGTTATCTGTATCTGTTTAATTCTGACACTTAACACTTGAGAAAACTGCTGTCTTTATTAATGGCAACAATCAGCATTCCAATTAAAGAAGGATACACCAATACATTTCCGAGATAGCCAACACGAAGTGTTTGGCTTGCCAGTGTTTGCATTTTTTTTTTTTTTTTTAAATCAAGCCAAATTTAGCAGAGTGGAAATTATGCTTCCAAGCTTTTCTGTAAAATAAAAGTCAAAACCCAAGATAACCGCAATTTGAAAGAAGTACTCCTGGGCCACCTCCAAGCATGCATTTTAAAAAACATCTTAGTAACTACAGTGACTTGTTAGGGAAAATAAACAAACACATTTAATCCTTGCATCAAAACAGAAGATAAAGTCGTTTCATGATATGTATATCTCGGTAAAATACTGCAGAAAATAAGATTCTTTGTGGCAGTCTCTCTCCTCACTGTCCCTAAACTAATAGGGCTCTAACAAATGTGCAGGCTGCTGAGGGATGCATGCAGAGGCCAGCCCTTGCCTGAATTAAACTAACACATATCACTGTGAGAAACTGTTGAACACTGCAAACAGTGGAAGAGAAAAGTAGTCAGCCAACCCAAACGTGGGGCTAAACTAATAAAGAACAAAAAGGGAAGACTGTACCAGAAAAAAAATGTGAAAGGGAAGCTTTGCACCACATTTCAAAACAGCAGCTCACTCCCTACTTCAATTTCTCACGACTGTCAGGTGCCCCTATCAAGCCCTTAGCTGATGATCTTAACAACTTCACTGGTTACTGTGGTTTTCAAAGACCCCCAGCTATCAAGGAGAAAGAGCCTGGAGTTCCCTGCTCTACAGAACAGAAGCACCACGGCAGCGCAGGCTGACATCACAGAGCTCAGAGAGAACAGGGTGGGGGGGAGCGTTCTGGCTTTGCCGGCCTCCCTGCAGAGGACCAGGGTTACCTTCATTATGTCCATGTGCTGCTGTCTCAGTTTATTCAGGCAGGCAAGCACTTTCAATCTCTCACCTGGGAGGCTAGAAAAAAAAAAAGAGTAAAATTTCTTATGCATTCTCCTTTACAGTTTGCAGTATATAGGGAATCACTTGTGCAAGTTCCTATTACTCCGGTCTTCGCTGACTTTTGGTGGAAATATATATTTCTATGGGGTTTTTTTTCAGAAAAAAATCAAAAGTATTTATTCTCTTCAAGGTAAGTAGAAAAGGAAGAGAACACATCTATAGAAGTTGTCTGTAAGCACTGTAAGTGACTGTCCCACTTTTACGCAAGTTAGAAGCAGAAACATCAAGAAACATACAATTTTTTGTATTGATTTCTTTTAAGAAAAGTCACATTTGGGGTAATGATTTGCTAACTTTTACACTATTTACACCAACTACCCAGCCTCTGAGATCAGTTTTGCATCAGTCTCTGAATTTAAACTTTAACAGAAATTAATACTATAAAACATCAACTGCTAGCAAAATAATAATAATACACTACATATTTTGCCTAAACAATTTAATAATTTACAATCCATAAAATATTAAATCCATATAATGTCCGAGCTGCTGGAGATCGGTTTTTGTCTTTAAAAATTAGTATCCCTGTCCCCAACATGAGTGGCTCCTGGGTTGCCATCTCTGCTGCTCGTGGACAGTCACTTATAATCTTCAGCTGCCTCCGTAAGCAAACAAGATCAGAATCATTAGAGGTGTTGCTCAAAGACAGCAACAAAGATAGCAAAGTTTGTTACTTTGGACTCCTTCTGCAACCAGTAAAACTCAGGAGCTTCTACACATCTATCTTCATGCTCCCAGGAAAGGCAACTGCTTTCTGAGTTTCATCTGAAAAATGGGACCAGATATATTTTGGCTACTCCCTGAAAGAAAGGTGTAACCTTTCCAATCTTGAGACATGGCTAACTCAGGTGGAAGTAACGCTTGCTGTGGTAACCAGCTATTCCGTCACCACCCACAAAAACAATTTGGGGACAGCAATGTCAAAAGTGATCTTCTTTCAGCCATCTACATTCTTTTTATTTCTATAGAAAAACTTTTCTCTCAAGATACTAATCTAACATGTAAAACCATGTTTGGATTAGAGCGGAGAGAAAGCTTCTAGAAGATTAAAAAAAGAACATCCAAACTCAATGTAATAAGATGACCTACACTTTATTAATTATATCAGAAGTCTTCAGTGAGTATCACTTAAAAGCACGCTTACAAAAGACATTAAACATCACAACCACATTTCTGAAAGAGCTGTAATGACACCACTATAGAGGCAATAGAACTTAGATAACAATTGCTCAAAAGGAAATTCTAGGTCACGCAAACTACATGAGATAGGACTTCTGTAATGACATTTACGAGGAGGTGAGGCAATGTGAAACAGTGTCCAGAGCCAAGCAAACAACAGTACTGCTCCTCCCAATGCTGAGTACAGGGACACAACCTGTCAGTTTGAAGCATCTAAATTTACTTTTAAATGCCAAAAAATTCAAGAGGAGGAGAAAAATAACTGGAAAAAGGCCACGTACATAAAGACAATGCACGCGGGCACCTACTTTCTGGGAGAAATGACAAACAACCGCATCTATGGGAACAGCAAAGAAAGAACAGCTGTGAAGAATGGGAACTACAGAATCTAAGTCAGTCAGCAGCTACACCCTCACAGACAGGCTGCAGTACTCTCAAGTCCCCAGGAGTAAATAAGCATACTCTGCACCCATACGTTGAACTCTCCAGCTCACTTAAAATCTGTATGTCACAACTCGAGCTCCACAAGTATGAGGCCAGCAAGCACTCAAGACTACAGTCCTTAATATCCCACACAGCACTAGGAGGAGGCTGCCAGGATGCATCCTGAACAGAAGTTTCCAAAATCATGTTTTATATGGAGCACAGTCCCCAAAATTAACTTTCCATAAACATTGTATTTCACCAAAAGAACATATATCTGCTTCATGTGCTAAAAGATGGATGATGTGCACTGAACAGAAAGTAAAGATATGGCTTAAAATAACAAAACAACTTTGATTTCACCTGCTTTTTTTTTTTTTTTTTTTTTTTTTAAAACACACAAGGAGAATAACTGCTTCTACAACACCTACCCAAACACTTCAGTAGAGCAGTTCCAGTTCTCTGCCCCAGAAAGTGAAAATTAGGTCACTCACATGTTCCTGCGGAGCTTGAGCACTTCCAGCATCTACCACGGAAATCATTACACTTTTGCAAGCATAGGAGAACACTGGCACAGGCCCTTTCAAAATGGTACTTTGTTACAGGGCTCAAGCTACACCCTTGATACAAAGATGCTCCAACACAAAGTGTTAAGGGCTTCCTGGCCAATTGATCAACTTCTTAATCCTACTCATTAATCAATTATTTTTGCCAAATGCTAGGAAGCCTTCAAGCTCTGGCACCATCTCTCCAAAGGCCCATGCTGACAAGACAACTTGCACTGAATGAGGCATGGGCAGGAGACAGGATGACACAAGCAACTTCATTTTCAGTCAAGTAAAACCACTACTTTTTAATAAATGGAAGAATCTAACATCTGAAGATATTTGTGGATCACAATGAAGTAGCTCTCCGTCTGCTCCAAGCTACTTATAAATGTTTATTATACAACTACCTAGACATGCAAACTTTGTCCACAAAGAACATTGGCCAATGTGCTTTTGCTCCAGAAAAATCATCTCTAGCACAGCTGAATTAAACAGTGCTAACCTAGCTCTTTGGACTGTATGATAGATACATCTGCTGTTTGTGCCAGGAGACATCCCTTTGGTTGGATAAGTGGTACCTACAGGTATTAGAAGTGAGAGTCCTCAGACAGCATTACTCCAGCAAAAGGAATAGACCCAACTAGAGAGGCTAGGAAGGCATTGGCTTTCCTAACACTTCAGTGACCTTCACATCTTCTCTTGCCCTGCTTCAAGGAAGACTAACCTCTGTTTTGAATTTGGCCTCTAGATGACAAAACATAATGTCAATACAGTTATGGTGAGATTGACCTCCTGAATGTCAAATTGCAAAGTACACTTAATCCTTCTTTAGAGAAAAAAAGAAGAAAAATCCCTATAAGTCACAAGGTAAGAACGCCTCAACCAAAAGATGACACACAAATCATATTTTATTACTTCATTTTCCCAGGGCCCTGCAAATGTAGTTCCTCACACAGCTGAATCAGTAAAACAATGGGTTACCTTTTAAAAGGTGAAACTTTTAAACCCATTCCCCTCTACTCTTTCTTGCTTCACTGAGAGCCCCCCATGTGTCACAGACTAGGATGATCAGAATTTTTTTTTTTTTTTCCCCAGTCAGTCTTGTTTACTTCCACTCCAGTAAGGCCAGCTGGTACAAACTGAGCTGTGGTACAGCTGGGAAAGGTGGGCAGCAGGAACTCCCCGTTTCAGTGACAACAAGGTACATACAGATGCCGCCCATAGCTTATGAAACTATACTTAGACTGCGGTGAACAGCCTTTTGCTGGGATGGCCTGCTGAAACAGCTCCATGCAACAAGAACAACAAAGGACAAAGCAGAAGGGGAAGGACGTACCTGCAGCTGCCAGTAGTTAGCTTCTGCAGAGGTATATCCATCTCAGTTGGGGCTGTCTTTGCAGAAATATCTGCATCAGCCTATACCATCTTTCAGCTCCCCTCCCTCATCTGATGCATTGATCTACTGGCATAACTAGTACCCTTCCTGCAATGATTAAGAACTTGACTATTCCAGAGAGTTCAACCAGCTAGTCCTATTCATCTTCTGTATTTTACATGCACAATGCCACATGCTGTACACAACATCAGCTTCTAGCAACATGAGAACGTGTGAAAAATCAATAGCACTGCCTCCAGGCCAGTCGCCCCAAGCTCTTCTTTACGAAAGTCTTACAAGCACAAGGAACTAAGTATATACATTCATCACCTCTGTCACAGAGGAACGATTACAGCTACTGTAAATCATGCTGTGCACGAGAAAAAAAAAAAAAAAGCTGGCAAATGGATTATTCTTTACCGCAAAGTCAAGCAGATGTTTTGAAAAGCAAAAAGCTGCAGCAACTTCTCATCCAGCTCACACTTTCAGCTTAGCAGAAACAAGACTGTAAGGGAGTAGCGAGGCTGGCTGCTCCACAAAGGAAGGTGAGCTGGAAGCAGAGCACAATAATAAGGCAGGTGCAAGCAGTGACCTCACCAACAAGGAGCCAAGATGAAGAGTGGCAAGTCTATGGCAGGTTCAGGGCAAGACACAGCCCAGCCAGCAAGTCCGTAGTGATGAGGCAGGTCGGAGGTCAGGCCAGGAAGCCGAGCCAGCAGGTCGGGGTCAGGTTCAGGAGCAGGGAGGTACCAGGCCAGAAATAGAGGTAGCCGCTGCACAGTTACAACGTAGCACAGGCAGGGCCGGAGAGCTTCAGCTTAAAAGCAGTTCTCAAGGGAAAGGAGGGGTAGTCCCTCGCGTCTAGCTTTCTTCATAATAGCTCTTATCAGTGAGGAAGCTGACCTTGGACTTAGCCAGCTAAACTCGAACTTAGCCAACCAAACTCTTGGGGGGGGGGGGGGGGGGTGGTCTGGGGCCAAAGCCGGACGTCAAATCTCACCGAAGGAAACACCTTGCAAAATAAAACCTACAAGCACATCATTCCATACCCCCAGCATCATCCAATTTACATACCGATTGAGAGCTCTTACAGTTATTTAACTGTGCTTAGAATAACTTATTTCACTACACTAGCACGCCCGGATACATTCGTCACTCTCAGAACTTGACTTTACAAGTTTCTGACAAGTTTCAAAAAAATCCAATTGTCCAATGCGGGCACTGGATACTCATCCACCCACTAAGGTACTAAAAGCTACCACCCTTCTGGTAATCTATCAAGAAAAACACACACATCCTCTCTTGTTATTTCTATTACACGAATTCCTTATGACATTAAAAACTAATAAACCCTTCAGTTACCTTCCTCATGATTCCACATTGTTTCTATCTGCCAGTGTGGTTAAATCTCTTCTTAAAAACAACAAATGTCTTAATATTGACATCTGGCAACATCTTCCCTTCT